AGGGCCGACATTTTTGACTTTTGATTTGATGCACTTTATTCTGTCGTTATTCACAGGGGAACACTTGATGAGGAATTATTTGTTGCACGCTTGTACTTGAGAAAATCGCGTGTAGAGCTGGAATGACTGGATGGTCTGGCTGCGTGATTTTTTCCGAAGTGGATACTCATCCCGTGTTCGGATCCAAACGTTTTCGCGCATCCCTGCCACTTGCACTTCACCGAACAAGTGTCGTTATGGGTTCTTTGTCTGTGGCGATGAAGGCCAGATCCACGTGTAAATGACTGGCCACAACCAGGATACTGACAACGATATTGAGAAAGACCTGAAAAAAGTGCTACTTTGCAAAAATTGAAGTAAACGATGGGCAAAATTCTTTCAGAGAGCCTAAATTACAAGCAAATTCATGTAGTTTTACACGATCTAGAGTGCAGTATTAAACGATTACATTTGTTTATGCATTTGTTCGTTTGCGTATGCGTGAGTATATATACATATATGTATATATATACATATATTGTATATATAGATGCTTGAGAGATGTGTATGTTTTGTGTGGTTGTTACTCTGCTTCTGGTCACATAGGTGAGCTACAAGACTAAGTAACCTAAAAATCCGAAATTCTGCAAGCACTCTCTTCCAATTTGTCCGAAGTCACAAATCTTAAATCGGCGCGCGTTTCTTTTTTGCGATCTGATTTATAATTACCAGGTCTAAATTCGAGCAACTTTTATAATTTTAAAATGATCACACTAAGAGCAAAGATTTCGTTCTTACTACCAATTACACGAGACTGTATGGTTGACATAAAATTAGCTTTTAAAGACTGATGTATTCTCAGCTGTGACTAGACTAAATGGATTGCTTCAAAATAAAACAGTATTTTTGGGCCTCGTCGTTAGCGTGCTAAGAATCGACTGGGCCAAATTAGACGATGAATTTAGCTGGCTGTTTATGGTCCAGATTGAAGCCGGAGATTCGGCAGATTACCGTTTTCAAAAGAAGGTTATGAATTCACACTGCTCTTTATGAAAAAATAGCAATTTTTTAAAACGACAAACATTTGTAAAAAAATAAAATGACCACTTGGGCGGCCTACAAAGAGATGCATACATGCAGTGAATTACCCGTTGGTGCTGGATGCTCTAAGCAGCAATGAACATTGGCCCTAGCACAGCTGCAGTAGTGTTGGGAGTGCCCCAGTGCATCATTAACATATTCAACTTGTTTGAAATTTTGCAATTTCAGCTTTCGCAGGTGTCTATATACATGAAAAATAAGCCGAAATTCGGTTTTTTTAGACTCTTTTCTGTCCTAACCAAAAAACCAATTTTGGAAACTTCTGCAAAAACTCTCACGTAGATATGAAACATCCTTATAAAATTTTAGCTTTTGCTTCATATTTCCCGAGCTTGGGCAGTTGACAACAAACCTTCGCCCGAAATCTCGGTTGTCCGCAACTAAAAACCCAGGCTGGGACGCACCAGGCGAGCCGGTGCGATCATGCGTTTTTGCAACAGACTTGAAATAATTAGGTTAACTGC